AAGCCAAGCCTTTTCTTGAAAGAATATCAGTTGCGATGAAAAATGGATTGTATATGACAAACAGCGACGGTCAAAGCAGTGGTTAAACATCGAAGAAAGACCAGGACAAATGCCGAAACCAAATTTACACCCCAAAAAATTGATGGTGACCATGGTCCATGGCTGGAATTATTCGCTACTTCTTTTGCCTAGAGGTGAGACCATTACCTCTACATCGTATTGCAAGTAAATTGATGAAATTCATAAAATATTACTCAAAAAACGTCCTGTATTGGTAAATCGGAAAGGTCCTATACTCCTCCATAACAACGCCAGACTTCATGTTTCAAAACATACTGTAAACAAATTGAAAGAGCTTAGGTACGAAGTTCTTCACCATACACCTTATACTCCAGACTTGTCTCCAACAGATTTTCACCCTTTTAGGAATATAGACAACTTCATCAAAGGAAAAATGTTTGAAAATGTTTTTCAAGTCCAAAAAGCGTTTTCAGATTTTGTTTCATTTTAATGATCGACCTCTGAACCCTGAAAAATTGTTTAATTTTAAATTAAATGTAATTATTAAGTTTATTTCTTTCTTAACGGAAAGGGTGCATCGATAAATGCCTCCTTTTCACTTGGAGCAACAAGAAGACAAAGTTTACCTTTACGGGCTTAGTTAAAATAAAAGATCTAATAGAAGGGGGCCGGTTAAGTGGATAAGTTTTATAACTAATTAACCGAGCTTTCACGCGAAGAACTGGACATGAATAATTAATGAAACCTAGTTTCGCCCCGAAAAAGCCCGGGTCCACGGCAAAACTAATGTATTTATTGTAAAACGAAAAACTTTCTAACTTTGAACATCATTAACTTTAAGCCCAAGTGTGTCGGCCGAGTCGCAGATCTATAATAATACCAATATCTCGTTCTTTAAGCAAGTTTTCCTTTCGGGATATTGTTTTCATTTTCGTTCGATGTTTTCAGCTGCGTTTTAATTAGATTTCCATCGATCCGTTCCGAAACGACTAATGAATATGCCGAAAGGAGTTTAAAACCTTCTCTCGCCAAGATAGAAAAGTTGTCTTTAAGATGTAAATAATTCTTGGCCTATAAGAAATGTGAAGGATAAAACGCCAAGCTTACTTAATACGGCTATCCTTAAGTTACTTATTATTGTGAAAAGTAAAGCGAGTGAAACAAAAAAAAATCATACCCGAAATGTCCATGGCCAAAGGATATCGAACACTTTCATTCGTAAAGAATCTGTTTTTTATATTTTCTTTATTCTACTGACAGTCCTCTCTTGGAGGAAAATAGGCCATTGGCCTTAGCTCCTTCAACGTTTTGGAGGATTGTCGGGAAGGTTTTGGGTGTTTGATAAGGAGGTTGGGATGATGGTCTATGGTTTATGGTAGTAGAGGGCAAATAGAAAGCAGACGCTCTTGCAAGGAAAAGGGCTGCCAAACAGTTGATAGGTCTTAAGCCCTTCTGTGGCATAGGTATTCTCACTATCATGAAAATGGGGAACAGTAGACTTCACTCATTGGACATAAACAATCCAAGTACCTTCTAGAAAGTTTTCGAAAGAAAGAAACGACAGAATGCATCAAAGGAAGCAGGAAAAATTTCGAATCCTAACAGGATTCTTAACAGCCACTGCAGACTGAATGGGCATCTGAAGAACATTGGTACAAAACAACACGGACAATCCAAGAACCTTCGAGAAAATTTTGGAAGGAAAGAAACGACAGAATGCATCAAAGGAAGCAGGAAAAATTTCGAATCCTAACAGGATTCTTAACAGCCACGGCAGACTGAATGCGCATCTGAAGAACATTGGTATAAAACAACACGGACAATCCAAGAACCTTAGAGAAAGTTTTGGAAGAAAAGAAACGACAGAAGCATCATAGGAAGCAGGAAAAATTTCGAATCCGAACAGGATTCTTAGCAGGACACTGCAGACTGAGTGATCATCAGAAGAACATTGTATAAATCAACACGGACAATCCAAGAACCATCGAGAAAGTTTTGAAGGAAAGAAACGACAGAATGCATCAAAGGAAGCAGGAAAAATTTCGAACCCTAACAGGATTCTTAACAGGAGACTGCAGACTGAGTGGGCATGTGAAGAAGGTTGGTATAAAACAACACTGACAATTCAAGAACCTTCTAGAAAGCTTTGGAAGGAAAGAATCGCCGGAATGCATCAAAGGAAGCAGGAAAAACTTCGATTCTTAACAGGACACTGAGAAGAGTTGGCATCTGAAGAAGATTGACAAAACACGGAACGTTTAGATTCTTCAAAAAAGCGGAGTAGACGCCAACACACCTACTAACAAACTATGGAGTGATTTGGAATGTAAATTCAACCAATCTGAATTGGCCTATAATCAAGTTTTTTTGATGAACTAGGATTCACCGGTGTGCTAAGTACGGGGATTTATCAGCTCTTAAGGGCGCAGCACACACCCCGAACATTACATTGCTGATAGAAGGATAGAATCGTTGTGATGGTCTGAGGGTGTAGATCATCTGGTATTTGATTTCTTCGAGTCCAATCTTCCATTTCTTAAACCATTCTTCCAAACAAGAGACGGTCCGGGAGGTTTCTGAAGAATTCCTGGTTCCATGTTTCCACTTCTGCGTCTACTAAAAGGATGTACCTTATAGAATAAATCAAATATGTTGAACACAGATAGATTTGTCTTTTCAAGACAACATAGTAGTTGGTGATTAAAGGTGATAGTTATTTTTTGGGATTCAGTTCCGTTGAGTCTGGTCCTTCATTTCTTGAATTATTCTTCCAAACAGAAGACATTGTCCTGGAGATTTCTGAAGTGGTACAGCTTCCATGTTACTTGGGGGGGGGGGTAAATAAAAGGTTATGTCTTAAGCATTAAACCTAATATGTAGTATAGACTGTTTTTTCAAGAGGAGACAGATTAATGAAAATATTGTTACTTTTTTTTTGCAAAACAACTACTCACAAATATTTACTTTACTTAAACATTATTTTTATTAACTTAAATAAAGAAGCGTTCTTAACGAATTAAAACCTATGTAAAGTAGTACACAATAAAGAGTTTAGGTGAGAAATTTATGTTGCATGATTGACCTGTAGTTATTCAACATAATAAAACCACACTTCATGACGAGGGTAACGAGTTCTACCTTTTTCCTCGTTGCAGTACAAAAGGAAACGCACAAAGTTGAATTTTTTTCTCAAAACCCGTTGCCCACCCCTTGTTTAAAAGAGTTTATCAATCCTCATGCGGTTTAATTTGACGCTTGGAGTATTTCCGTAGTAAAAAATCCCCCTTCGTAGCCTTAATTAACATGGGTTAAGAAAGATAGCCGTTCCATCATGTGTTATCGTATCCGTCCTCAAAGCGTACTTTCCTCAATTTGTTTAAAAGCCAATTAGAAAGTTTCGTTTTTACTGTTTTTGCCTATTTGTAATAACCGGATGTTATATATTGTTAGTTAGAAAACTGCAAAAACTTTTTTTTATTTGAAAGGTTAATTCCGAGCAAAATATAGCATTCTACAAACTGTCAGCCTGCCAGTAAACATTTTCACTTGTTTATATAAATTTCTCTTTGGTACAGTATTTAGACTATTACAGCTTTAAATTGGACCGACAACTTACGAATGAGAAGGAGATCCCGACTTTTTCTCCAGGATTGGGCAGATTCTTGGTAAATGTCCGGAACGTGCTTTATTACTTAAATACCTTATGCTTAAAAACCTCGAATACCTGCACATCTTTTAAGTATCACAACTCAGTTGTTGGGTTCTTTTTATCTCTAACTCAGTTTTTGAGTTTTTATTAATTGTGGTTACAGAATTTAGTAGTACGCGTTTTTTATGAATGAGGTGACAATAGTTTTTTTTAATATAATCAAGTATTTTTATGGTCATACTTAAAAACCTCATATACCAGCTTACCTTTTATGTAACACAACTTAGTTTTTCAGTTTTTGTTCATTGAGGTTACGGAATTTAGTAGTACGCGTTTTTTATGAATGAGGTGACTTGGTTTTTTTAGTATAATTGGGTATTGTTATGCTCATACTTTAGAACCTCGTATACCTGCATATCTTTTAAGTGTCACAACTCAGTTTTTGAGGTTTTATTAATTGTGGTTACGGAATTTAATAGTACGTCTTGTTTTAACGAAAACTATCCCGATTGGCCGTTCGTCTACGTTTTGCGTGAATCTTTCAGCAAGGACGTGACCTGCGGGTGCGAATCGTTCGCTTTTGTCGTCGGAAACTTTGTCCAGGGGCCTTCCTTTTCCTGGATAAATCTAGCCGGAGAATGACCCGAGCGTGGCCTGGAGATAGTTCCAACCCGGGGCCAGAATAGGGACCGATTGAAAATATCGAGATAGAACGTGCGCGGTTTGCAAACACCTGGATCGAAACTATTTTCAAAATGATTCCCAATAAATCAGCTCAGTTCTCGTTTATTAGACAAATTATATTGACTAGAAATAAATTACTTTTTGTACAATTTAATATACAATTATGTCATACAATTCAAATTTTAGCTACATGTGGTTCGATTGGTTAAGGAAGATGTTAAAGGTATGGAGCCGAAAAGCTTTAAAAATTTGACAAATATTAATTATTTATTTAAAGATTAATTATTAAAACCAATGAATAATTATTGGTCTCAATTGACGATTGTCGTTACAATTAGAATCAATACACATCTCGTCTAGCTGCAAATTCAGTGCGAACTAATAAATCTGTTTGTCCAAGACATCTTGAAAGGGCGTATCGCTAATTCAGCCGTCAATCGGTTCCGACCATGAATATTCATCTGGATTTATAGCCTGTCCTGTGATAACAAACGGGTCTACCCGATCGTTCTCCCTGTTTGGCTTTTTCAACCAAGCAGTCCGATTAGTCCGATTGAAAGACAGTGTTAAGTCCTATCTCCGATTTCCACTTTACAGTGGACCCTCTATTGTCTTTCCTGTCTAAACCTGATTGGTTTTATTTCAGACGGGCGAACGTGGCTACTTGGAAGGCCTAGGGTCGAGATACGCCGAGCTGTTCAACACCCACTATTCCGACGTCCTATGCCACCTGGAAGAGCTGAGGCAGCGGGAATGGGCAGAGCTGAGCCCGAGGTTCAGAGTCCTTACCGTCACCACGGGCCAACAGCAACAACAGACTCTGTCCAGGCAAAACGGGTTAACCACCTCTCTTTCTCAACCGATCTACGTACCTGGAAAATACTCGGTAAGTAATAACGGATTTCATAAACAGCGATGACAGAGCTGAAATCCAGCGCGTATCTTAAATCAATCTCGAATCTAATCGTTATTCTGAAATTATTGACTATTTAGACATAACAGTCCTAAGAGAAAAAACACGTGAAACCTCAATAAATCGATCTTCAATGTCAAACAAAATAACAATGAGCTGCTCTATAGGCCTAGAAAGAGGCGAGGCTATCAAGAAAAATAAAATACACTCACCCTTAACTCCGCGGTTTTTCCTTCTTCCACGTGGGATGCAGGAGGAAATAGGGTTTGCAAATTGAGGGAGGAAAAAAAAGAAAGCAAACTCATTACCTCGTGGTGATTACCATTTCACCACCAAACCAGCTTCGCACTTCTTCGAACAAAAATGAAAAACTAAGGCGTCCTCCATACCGAAGTACAAGAAATATCAAAAGGTTGGCATAATTGACTGTATCGGTCTGAAGCAAAACAAGGATTGGGCGAAAATAGCTCCGCGGTGATGTTGGAATGCTAGGAATCAGGGATTCGAACTTCGTAAGCACTGCAGCCTTTTGGCTTATTGTACTTTTCTTAGTTTCTTAGTTCACTTCAATCGACTCCCTTTTTTAATAAGTAGGTTGATTGTTTGTCATTCTGCTGTTTTGCCTGGGTCTTCGTAATATCATATATTATCGACGGTTGCTTCGCAGTAGATGATATGGGTCGCAGTTTCTTCCTCATTGCATAGGGGTCATTATTGAATATATCCATGTTGTGCAGGTGTTTTCTCAGATGGCAGTAACCGGTTTAGCCCTACCACTCCTTTGAGTTTTACCCTGTCTAAATGTAGTATTTGCCAGTTTTGGTAAGATTCCTTTAATCGTAAGTTTACTATGTCAAGTAGATGTTCCTTCAATTCCCCTTTTGTTTTTTGTGGACCCATTTCTTACCATTCAACTTATTATAGAGGACACTATCAAAAAATCCCAAGAATAGGTTCTGGGCCTTTACTCGGTCTTGCAAATCCTCCCCGGCCACTCTGCTCTTACATAAGCACTATTTTCTTTGCCCCTGACATCAAAGATATTGACAGGTTCTTGTGTGTCCCACGTTCTGGACATTCAGGATGCATTCATTAACTAATTTTAATGTAATTTTTTTACGTTATAAAGTTTCTAGCTGCTTGGCTATTACGACGACCTTACCATTTTTTGTCATTGTAATCTCTTTTAAAATTTTATATTGCATAAGCACATATATCAACTTGAAAGCTTGGTGTGCTTCTGTAATGATTTTAATTTCTTATATGGCTTGTCCAGAATATGCCTGATCCGGTTCCTTAACTTTTTTTGGATTAAGTCAATTTTTTAATTTCCTGTTGAAATGTATAAGATGTTCTAAAGGTTCTGTGATCATATTAGTCCTCATTTGTTGTTGTTGACCTCTGTCCTGTTGATCGTCTCGCTTCTTTCTTTTTCTATTCGTCCATCCTTCCTTCTCGACTTCATCGATGTGGATAAACCCACTGCCTATCGTATGTGTCGCTCCTGGCTTGACGGCAAAAATGTTTAGTCCCTGTCCAGTTTTGAAGTTTGAATGTGCTTTTCCTAGCTCCTACTTGTGTAAATGATTCCAGTGGAGATGCATAGATTTGCCAATCCTATTATGCTGCCTAATTTTTTGGTAGGTTGTTTTTGTTGAGCTTTAGTCCACCAGATTAATTGTATTGGTTCGACTGAAGGTCGGTTTTTGCTCTGCCATCTAGACAAAGTTTGGCGAATCAGCAGATTATTTTGACCTCTGATGAAATATTGGTTTCCAAACTGGCCTGAGGGCACATCTTACTCTGCTGTTTAACAAAGAGCCGTGTATAAAAATTAGATGGTGTCCTGGGAATTATTTCTTAATGTCGGCTAAAAATAATTTATTCTCTAAGTGATATTCAGAGTAGTTTTCCAAATAACACATCATCGAGGACTAAAACTTTGCAATATTCAAGTTGTAATATGGGGGAAAGCCTATTTCTGTACACCAAATATAGACCAGGGATTATAGAAAGAAGAGCATCTACAATGATTTTTTGTTGAGCAATATTGTTCGGTCATGACTGATTCTGCCAATGCCGTATTTGTGACAGTAAATTGGGTCTGAAAATTGGAGATTTATCAGTTTAGAGACCGCTAGTTTTCACATGTAATGAATTATGTCAAAGGGAGGTTCAGAATTTTCAGCTGATGAGCAACTATCGGAGTATTTGGGAATAACTCAAGTATTCTGCGTAAACATTTATTAATGAAAGTATTGGTTGAGATAAAAAGGCAGTGTCACGAGCGGGAATCGAACCCACGACCTTCGGCTAAATACGCTGCTGCTCTACCACTTGAGCTATCGTGATTTCAATCCACTCGGACACCAACTTCCCATCTCAATCCACCTTTCGAATTTTCCCTCCTTTTTGCCATTTTTCAAGTTAGTGTCCGAGTGGATTCTTACGATAGCTCAAGTGGTAGAGCAGCGGCGTATTTAGCCGAAGGTCGTGGGTTCGAATCCCGCTCGTGACACTGACTTTTTTATCTCAACTTGGAATTAAATTTACTCTTTTTAACTTTAAGTTAGGTTTTTCTAATTTTAAATTAACCCTTTTTAACTTTATGTTAGGCTTTTCTTATTTCTAATTAACCTCTTTTAACTTCAAGTAGACCATTTTAAATTCCAAATTAACCTTTCTTAACTCAAAGTAATTTTTTTCATTTCAAATTCGCCCTTCTTAACTTCAAGTAGACCCTATTTTAGTTTCAAATTATCCTTTTTAACTTCAAGGTAGGTTTTTCTAATTTCAAATTAACCTTCTTTAACTTCAGGTTGATCTCTTTTTAATTTTCAACTTCACTTTTTTTGAATTTCAAGTTAACCTTTTTAATTTGAAATTGACCGTTTTTAACTTCATGTTAGGCTTTTCTAATTTCAAATTTTCCTCTTTAACTTGAAATAGACCTGTTTTAATTTCGAATTAAGTTTTTTTAATTTCATAAAAAAAATTAACCTTTTTAATTTGAAATTAATTTTTTTTAAATTTCATGTTAACCTTTTTTAATTTCAAATTAATCCTTTTCAACTTTAAATAAGGTTTTTATAATTTCAAATTAACCTCTTTATCTTCAAACAGAACTGTTTTTAATTTCAATTTCACCTTTTTAATTTAAAGGTAATCTATTTTAATTTCAAACTAATCCTTTTTAACTTTAGATAAGGCGTTTATCATTTCAAATTAATCTCTTTTAACTTCAAGAAGACCTATTTTTCCCTTCAAATTCATTTTTTTAACTTCATGCTAACCTGTTTTAATTTCAGACGAACTCTTTTTAACTTCAATTTAAGCGTTTTTATATTAATTTGTCTTATCTTTAAGTAAACTTTTTTGAATTTCAAATTTGCCATTCTTAACTTAAAGTAGACTTTTTCGTTTTGAAATTCACTTATATTAAATTCAAGTTAATTTTTTTAATTTCACATTTGCCCTCCTCAACTTCAGATTAACTTTTTTTAATTTCAAATTCAATTTGTTCAATTTCAAGTTATATTTTTTCACTTCAAGCTCATCTTTTTAAATTCCAAATGAACCCGTTTTGAAAAAAATCATTAAAAAAATTAATCTTCTCCGCTAAACTGATTTGAGTTTACTTTCCCTTTATTTCTGAGAGTCAACAGATGGAAACAAGCGGAGGACTCTTTTGGAGGAAGGCAACTTTTACTTTTAAACAGGTGAAGGTACTATAAAAAAATTATTTATTCTGATTCCCATTTTCTTGTGTCACACATATACTACTTCCTTTCTTTTTGCACTAGTGTTATTTCTTTCAGTCTTCGTCATTGAATGTTACATAGCCTCATGTGCATCCTCTCATTTTCCTTTTATTTAAAATAATGAAAAACTTTATTTTTGTTATTTACTAACACTAACTCTGCTGTATTTATATGATAGATATGAATTATTTATTTGTAGCCAATATTTAGTAGTAAGAAATTTTTTTATTTCTTATTATCAAAAATTCAATATTTAATTTTGCAAAGAGGACTTTATGGCGGTCGTCCTATATTTATGTGGGATTCAAGAGGCATCGTTATGCATCTATGCCGACTCACATCCCTTTTGGCTATTGTCCTCGGTTTAATGGCCTCCTTGGAAGGGCCGGTGCCCCTTTCTGTCATTTCACACGAAAACCATCCCGGGAAGTGAATACCCACTCAACCCTTGTAAATTCCTTTGGCCCGAGGTCTCACTTAATATTTCCACCTTTTGGTTCAGATAGGGGAAAAAGGTCATAACGCGCGACTCGGGAAAGTGTTTACCCCAGAATACAGCCGGTATTAACGTTCCTCCGTATATGCTTTTATATTAAACGGTCCTGTGTCTCTCGTCCTTTATCCGGGGTGACTTTATTGCTAATCTGGTCAGAGCCGGTCTTTATTGTCTCTATTGCCCCCGGCCGCCATTCAAATTGCAAAACTCGATGTCTGAATTAAACCGGACGAGAGTCGGAAAGTCCTGAATAATCGCCTCGCACTGAGTTCATATCAAAAATGAACGTACCGCACTAACGACTTAATTTAGCTTTTCAAAGTGTTTGCATTTTTTGTGTAATATTTTAAAATATACAGAAAGTTTTACGATATGCATTATCAAAATATATAATTTAGTTCTGTTAATTTTTCGAAAAATAACATTGTAACTATCGAGACGTAACAGCATTTTTTCTCCATAAATACAGGGTGGTCCAGCATAAGCCCTAAAAAAATTGTGCTATGCTACATCCTAAACAGAATAAAATGCAACCAACCGAAGTGTTTCTCCATCCGGTCTGAAGCTATGGGTCAACTATTTTTAATTTCAAATTCGCCCTTCATACAATACTAGTAGATCATTTTTCAATTTGAAATTCACTTTCCTTCATGGTAACCTTTTTTTAATTTGAAATTAACCGTTTTTAACTTCAAGTTAAGGTTTTCTAATTTCAAATTAACCTTTTTTTAAATTCATGAAACAGGCGCCCGTGAAGAGAAGAACGAAGACATAGAAATCATTATCAGCATTAAAAACATTAAAACGCTAACACAAAAATTACACTAATTAAAAAGGGCACTCTCAACACCAAACCTACACTTTGAGCACTGAAGATGATCTCAATAAAGACCGAAACGTAGCACGATAAAGAAAATATTTTTCTAAA